GCATAACAAAGCTTTTCTTGGTGCTCAAAGCCACCCTCACATCTGCTCCGCGCTCACCCCACGCTTTGACGTCACCCCGCGCCGCACCCCACCCCACGCCACGCTCCGGGGGGCCCTTGGGCACAGAGGGGCCCTGTTGTGGTCACAAAGTCAGGTTTTTTCATGCAAAATTCCCCCCCCCCGGCCCAGACAATGTCCCCGTTGTGGAGGATGCGGAGGCGTGGGCGGGCAGAGGGATCGGCTGGGCACGGCAGGACCCTCGCCACGGGGCAGGAGGGGACAGGGCTGTCCCCAAATGCCCCTCTGTGGCTCCGGCAGCCCCGGCGCGTTGCGGCCAGCGTCATGGGGAGCTGCGGCCTCAAGAGCAGCACGTGGCCCATCTTGGTGGCAGTTGGGTGCCACCGGCTCCCCACGCTCCGTGCCACGTGGGTGTCACCAGCCCCGCAGGTGCCACCAGCCCTGTGGCTGGCCCTCCTGAGCGCAGACGGCAGACATTTAAATGTGAAACCACCAGAACGGGACACGTTCACCAAGAGGGAAAGTTGCCGCCCGTCACATCAGGCCCCCACGTCACCCCAGCAACGGGGAAGGTGACGCGGGACGTCCCAGCCCCCTCCGGGGATGTCTCCGGCGGTGGCCTCGGGCAGCGAGCAGGAGTTAGGCCCCGCACGTGACCCGGCCTGCGCCAGCGTGGCCGCGAGAGCCACTTCTGCTCCGGATGTCGGCTCCGCTCTCGCTTCCCCCCCGGAGGCTCAGGAAGCGCCGCGGGAGCAGGGGGAGCGTCGGGGCGGTGACAGCCCCAGCACCGACAGAGAGAGGCTTTCTCCGGGACACGGCGGTGGAGGGTCCCTTGTCCCACCGGACCCCGTGACATTTGTGCTCCATCCCCCTGCCCTCCCCACAGCACAGAGCCCTGGGGGCTGTGGGGACACGCCGGTCTCGGTGACATGGCCACAGACACCAGGGTGGAGACCCATCCCTGCGCCCCAAAGGCTGCAGACAGGACGTGGGGAGGAGCGGGTGCAGGACGTAGGGCTTGGGGGGGGGATGGACGGGGATACTGGGGCAGGGTGAGGGCACGGGGAAGATACTGGGACGGGACGTGACACTTGTGGGGACAGCACTGGAGTGGGATGGGGGCACACTGGAAAGATGCTGGAGCAGGATAAGATGGGT